AAATATTGCCAATGTAATATTTGGAATAATATATACATTCAATATATTGCCAAGGGTCTCATTCGCGTCTTTCTTTGATCACTGTATATATATATATTATATTATTATAAAAAAAGAATATACATATATATATATATATATATATATAAATATATATGTATATTGAAAAAAAAAATAATTATATATAAATAGATATAGATATTATCGATTTTTCTTGTTAAATTTAATTATTAAATGGATATAAATATTTTAAGATTCACCGAATTATTTATGTATCGTTTATATCGTCCATGGTTAGCCTGGGATTGGTTATTTGCATTGACGCAAATAGGAAAGGAATATTATTCTACCATAAATATTATGCATACGTTTACAAGAGAGGTAAATTAATATAAATACTTAACGATTTTTTAATTTTATTATAGTTATGATGTTTAACGTTAATCGTTATTTCATGAAAGAAATTATATATATATATATATATATATATATATATATATATATATATGTATATATATATATTTTTTTTTTTTTTATATTTATAGGTGATTAAAAAAAAGAAAATGGCGAGGGAATTAAAATCCAATATGGACGATAAAGCGTCATTAGCACTTGATGAAATTGGTATGAGTGTTTTATTATTAACGATTATATCCTTATTTTTTTTTTCTTTTTTTTAATGTTCCTTAAAAGCTTCTTGATCTTTTTTTTTTTGTTCATAATTTCTGACAACAACCCGAAAAGATATTATTGGCATCTTGAACGATTGTTTTAATTTGTTTCTATATAAAAATAGAATCATTTTTTTATAATTAAATGAAATGAATTACACGCAAAAAAAATGTTATCATAAAACGTTCTATTTCTGTTTGTCGTTTTTTCTTTTTTGAATCGTCTAGGTATATATAATTCCCTTAACTTTGTATTTGTGCATATGTATATACATACATACAACATACATACATATATACATACATACATACATTTGTCATTTTTTTTCCGGTTGCTATAATTACATGTACAACTTTTTCTTATTTATCAGTAAAGCATTTCAAATTGCTTATATTTCGAGTAAAATACGATAATTCTTGACACATAAATTTTCATAGTTAGTTCAATAATTTAACCGTTTATTTTGAAACTGGCCTAACTCCATTTATACTTAAATCAATGAATAAAAATGATAATTTTCAAAGTCCTAAATTTATTAACACTTCGGGGTAGACCAAGAAAGTTCGAAAATATTGTATTGATACCACTGTATAAAAATATCAGACAAATTACAACAGCAAAATTCAAGGACATAATTGACCTATTACGATATATATCACTGGAACATCATGATTTCTTCCAATCCCTTTTACACACACAAAATCTAAATGAGTAATAAATTGTTTTGTAATAAATTTATGTTTGTAATTTATATTTTCGAAGTGTTTTAAAGATATGTAAAATAAATTGAGTATTGTATTTTTTTTATTCAATTTGAAACATCTTAAATTATGTTGAATGGATTTGGGCATCTTCAAATTTTATAATGAATCTAATTGTTAATTTTGAAAATGACCTAACTCCATTCTTGATAAGAAAATGCATATCATTCACTTAATAATTGCCACTATTTTAATAGGAACTATAAATTTAACACCCTTAGATACACTTAAGTAGTATGACTCATTAGTATCCTATACGTATATTTTTAAATTCATTGAAACGCAAATCCTTAAATATCTCGATTTGAAGATAAATGGAGTTAGGCCACTTTCAAAATAAACACCTCATATATATATATATATATGTTTCTAATGAAAATATTTTTTTTATTATTCGAACGTAGGTAAATCAACAAGAAAAGCTTTTTTAGATCTTTTATTAGATGCTAGAGAAAGGAATGAAAATCATATGACTGATGAGGAATTAAGGGAACAAGTTGATACCTTTATGTTTGCTGTAAGTTATACGTCAGAGTTATTTTTATTTATATAGAGTGTAAAAAAAAAAAGAAAAAAAAGAAATCCTAATTTATTCAAATCCTAAGAAAGCATATTTCACGATAGAGAGAGAGAGAAAGAGAGAGAGAGAGAGAGAGGATATTGAAAATTGCATAGAAAAGAAAAAAAAACAAAGAAAAAGAAAACAAAAGAAAAGAAAGGAAAAGAAAAAAGATTGAGAAGACTTTGAAATCCCAAAAACTTGTCCAATCATAAAAGATTATTGATCTTCCCGTAAGATGTATCCTCTCTCTCCCTTCCCCTGCCCCTTAAGTTTCATTTAAAACGAATCTTTGGTAATGAGCTATAATTTAAATATTTTTTTGTTAATCGAACTGAATAATTCCAAATTGAACAACCTGCATATATTATGCACTTGCATTTATTGTTAGTTTTATATATATATATATATATATATATATATATATTTCCTGTAGAATATTTATATATATATATAGAA